TTCATTCATTATTTGACATTTGTTCTATATTTTACTTTTCATTTTACAGTAGTCTTACTGTTACAGTCGGTTGAATAACCAGTCATAGTTCATAAACAAGCTCGGGTGAGATTGAATAGCGACTCTACGTATGGTTAAGCTCATATTCGGATACCAAATTACACGACTTTCTGTTAGTTTCACACTGTATCACAACCGTATAGGGACACGTATAGGCTATCGATAGTTTACACTTTTGGAAGAAGTCACGGAACTTTTATCCCTCATTTCAAATAGGAGTCAATTGTTAAATTTTGGGTGTCATTTTGTAGTATGGAGGTAGGGAATAATATATAACCCCTCTTCATAGCGGTCTGGACGCACCAAGAGGGCATGGTGAGACGCGCACAGGTAATTTATCTGCGGTCAATTCACAATTTCACACAAATAAGCAATTGAAACTGGCCACTGATCAACAAAGACAACATCTGTTCATTTCTTGGTTGAAAAACTCGCTTACTCAAATCACAAGGTCACAGTTATCCGCGAGGATGGGACGGAAGAGAACTTTGGCGTGCATAGTCACATTCCGTAAGCAAGCTGCCTAAAGATTATTCTATATTAAAGTGTGGTGAATTGTTCGTTTTTCTTAGTTGGAAAACTCGAAAGCTCAACAACACCATTTTTAAAAGAAAACATTTTTTACAGATAGATAAATAATTCGAAATTCGTCATATGCCAGGTAATCAAACAAAGAAAACCGGGCAAAATTGGAAAATTAAAACCAGGCAAATGCAATTTCATCTTCAATTTTCACACAATAAATTGTATTACAGGTATTTATCAAACCCAATGATTTTTTGTTAAATGTGTTTTTTGCTAAAGAAGTTCAAAATGCATTACATTACCACTTTATCCAAAAAGAAATTGAGATGTCATAAAATAAGTTATATTACTTAGCCAAAGAATCAATAACGTGATTCCATAAAACTTATAACAATATTTTACATATTATTGAGGTTACAATTATATTGTAAAAATTGTCAAAAGCCTGACTACTTAGCCTCAGAGTCCCTTACACGTCGAAATTATACTGATTTCATACGAATAATAATTGTTGTGTTATAGAAGCCGAATATATACCCTTTTATAGTATAATCAATTAGATTTTCTGTATTTTCTTGAAGCCTAGATTCCTTTATTCTTACTAGAAACACCTACTACGTGCATTTCAAAGTAAGAATAGTTAAAAGTGTTTCATTCGCGATCAATTTCAGTGAATCATTTTACCAATTTCAAAGTCACATATATCAATTTCTTTTGAAAAGTAATAAAATAGATTTCAAAAAATCTATAATTTGACATTTACCTACTGAAAACGGACGAGTTGTAAAATTAAGATAATATTGAAAAGTCTGTAATACAAAGAAGAAAAATACATTTTCGATGGTTTAAAATCGGCGTGTGATTAGTCTATTTGTAGAAGCCATTTATCACGTTTATTTAAGTTAAATAAACCTAACCTGCGATTCGAATTGAAAGAGTAACAACAAAAACGGTAACTAGATGTTGTAAAACAATATTTACGGATGTTTTATGATAAATAACTAATCGTTGAACTAAGTATCTTGAAATCTTGTGTATGACATAAATTTGAGTATCATAAGAAATTAAAACTTATAAACGATTATTGTTATCAAAATCCAAATGTCGTATGCTAAATATATTTAAACTTATTCTGAATATATTTTTCCAGAATATGTCAATAGTTGCAATATTTTCAAACATGTAAATTTAATGTAGAGAGGAATTTAAACATTAGGTTCATAACGCAAATAATGTTAGTTCAAAGGCTCGGTCAATATATTTTGAAAACATCGTACTTTGGTGAAGGTCAAAGAAACTATCGAAGTCATAGACGTCCTTTTACGACCGCAAAGTTGAAATCAAACCCCGAATGCATAACTCTGCCTAGATATGCACCGGGACCAGCGACCTACAATAAGAGAGCAACACAACGAAGTCCTAAGACTTGGCTAGATTGCGAGAGTCCGTCTAGAGAGGTCTTCGCTTGTGCGTCCTATATCAAACTTCACAAAGAAACCCTCAAAGGGCATCAGGGAGAGGGACGAGGTGAGGCGGGGCGCGGCGGGGCGGTGGCGGCGGGGGAGGGGAAGGCGCAGAGGGTTCGGGCGAGGGGAGGCGGTCGATAGCAACGCTCCACGCCATTGGCGGCCCCGTCCCCGCGCCGCGCCGCCCCGCCCTCGTCTCCACGGCGACCGCCAAAATGGCCGCGCCGCTACCTAATTAATCTCCGTGAGGAGCGGCGGGACACGATGCGACGCGGCTCCCCCAACGCTCGAATCACGGGGAGGGGCGCACTCTGCTGTAATCACGTCGCCCACACGTTTCGAAAGGGGCCTCATTTTTACGTAATGATGTGTCAGCCTGCTCTTTCAATTGAGAGCAGGTGCTCAATCATCGCTTTTGATAGCGATGGATAATTAAATCATAATTTTTATCACTCGAAGTATTTTTCATGCAATCACTTATGTTGTGAGTTTTAAAAGTACGAGTACTTCGGGAGTACTGTTCACTAGAATAAGAGCATCACAAAAACTGCATACTTAGCAAATTGCATTAGATATATACTACACAAATATTTCTCTTTCTCATTATTTCTTCTTCGTTTCAAAAATGAAACTCTCATGATGAACGCATTTAGTTTCCCTAACTAGTTCACTTATATTTTATACTTAATCTAATTAAGTTTTTATTGTCCTTCAAATTCGTATGCGTAATACAGCTAATAAAAACGCATACAATATATTTTTTATCGAATGAAATACCAGTCGAAATGTTTAGGATCATCAAAAAAATCATAAATGAAGGAGCTATAGAAATTATATATTTTAAATTAAAAGGTAATTATCAACATGAAAATAAAATAAAATGTATTAGATGTTCAGATAAGTGTAATACAATTAAATTAGATCATTAAAACTTTCAGGAGAGACATAATTTTAGGATAATAAAACATCGCCTATAGAACAAATATCATTGTCGCTCTTTTTAAGTCTTCAGGAAAGCGTTCTTGAAAGAAGGAAGAACCTGCTTTCACCGCCTTTGAATGTTGTTCGAATACATGTTCCGTGTGAAAATAAAATACTCTTCTCAAAATTATGAAACACATTTACGTATTCAATCCATGAATTAGGCCACTATCGAATATATTTCAAATTTCTTCAATATCAAAACGGTGTGATAGCAAGACTTAAGAATTCCTCCTAAAACATTCAATAAATTGTAGTCAGTCCTTATTTTATATTTGGATATGACGTTTAAAAGTAATTTGCTACGTAATAGTCGATGATTCTCTTTCGTTCTCTCAACACACGATAGGGTGTATGAGTAATTAAAAGAGAGAACATAAAATTTTCTTTTTACGACAACTTTGTTCTGAATCCTGGATTTATTGTATCTCGAAAGCTGTCACTCCGAAACTTAAATTTTATGTGAAAAAACCAATTCGTCTCTTTTATAAAAAAGTAATTGCTTACTGGACATTTCGTTTTTTCTAGGAGTTTACACAAATTTTTATTTAACATTAATTAACGTTATTTTACGTTTATTTGAGTTCACTTAACGCAATGCACTCTAAGGGTCTAAAACAATTAAATTATTATATACAATAAGATCAATATAACTCAAAAGTAGTGATTTTAGATAACCTTTTTTAAGTTTAATATATTTTATTACAGACATCAAAGTTATGGAGGTTAAAAATATCTTTTACGTAGCGTGATTTTGTTCTCTTAGAAAATGACGTCTTGAACAGGAATTGTTGCACACTTCTGGTGAAACAAATTGCTAAGTTACCTAATCTATGTTTCTCTCTTTCACTCCACGGTGTCAGTTTAGTGTCAGAATGAACGAAAGTCGCACAATACTATCAGTTTTCTACATTATTTTGTCCGTGTATGGAATGGCAATCTCTGCGATTTTGAAGCTGTAGTTGACAAAGAAACATCCCGAACACGCAGGTAACATTCTGCTTCGAATTTGTGAATGTTAGATATAATGCAAGGGATGATGAAAGGTCTACCGTGTTTTGTTGCAAACGGTTTTAAATGCGTGAAATCCCCTTTCAAATGTGGGAATGCAAGGAGGTGAATTTACTGTTTTGCGAAGGAAAATGCGATATTTTTAAGTAAATGCAATTTAAAGATGTATGTGACAAATACACATTAAAAATACACTTTCATGCGATTCTCTGTCCGTTCTTACCAGGAACTAAATCCACTATCAAAATAAAATCAGAATTCAAAAATGCTATCTAAACAAGTAGAATTGTCTGTAGATTCTTTGAGGGCCTCCGCATGTTATGATTGAGAGACAAGTTTGAGACGGAATTTTTTTAAAGTATTATTTGAGAATAATTGGTCTTTCCCGATAGTTTTCTCATCGCTAAAGCAGTTTTTAACTTCTTCTACAATTTCGTATGAAACCCTATGCTTTGGCTGACATATGCGACATCTCTCCCATTATGAGCACAATATTTCAACATCTAAATATTCTTATTTCTACCTATACTCTTCCCTTTATGCTGATGACTATGTATCACCTTTGTCTCCATGCTGCCGCTTGCAAGCAACGAAATCTATAGCAATGACGCATTGAAAGTATTGTTTCGGTACTCGTTGAAAATATTATTTGCCTTACATAATGAACGTGTTGTTTTCTTCTGAAAATGCAGTACTACTTCTTCTTTAGGGCAGTGTGAAATATGATGGGGCTATAACTGAATGTTATAATGAATGTAAAGCATTGTTATTCAAAAAATAAATTCCTTCTTCATTCCAACGCATTAATTGCGTTTAAATGTGAATTTTCATTTTCATACACTTTTTTATCGATTCCCAATAATCTTCGAAAGTCAGATCCATTATTAAGTAAGAATTCTCGAGCGTTTCGCCTGTTTGAAAGTGAGGAAGGCGACCAAGGCCGCTATCGTGTTGCAGATGCAGTGGGGCCCGTCGCCGGCCGCGCCGTCGCCAGCCTACGCGCAAGCGCCGGGCCAGGGGCTGCTCAGCCCGCAGGCGTACGCGTCTGGCGGCGCCACCTACTCCTTCACCGCCGACTTTCGGCCGCCGCCCGCGCCGCCCGCGCCGCCCGAGCCGTCGCCGCTTCTCGCCGCCACCTCCTCCTTCAAACCCGTCATCAGCAAGGTGGTGAGCTTCTCGCCGCCGCCGCCCGCGGCGCCTCCGCCCCCGCGAACGTCCGGGGGTGCCGGGGTGCGGGCGGCCGGCGGCGCGCGGCCCGCGGACCGCCAACGCCTTCACGGGCAAGATGGCGGCGGCGGCGCGGCGGCGGCGGCCAGCGGTGGGCCGGGGCTGGGCCCCGCCCACGCGCACGCGGCGGCGGCAGCGGCGGCGGCGGCCGCGGCGCAGAGAGGCCCAGCGGCCCAACCTCTGCCGCATCTGCGGCAAGACCTACGCACGGCCCAGCACCCTCAAGACGCACCTGCGCACGCACTCGGGCGAGAAGCCCTACCGCTGCGGAGACTGCAACAAGTCGTTCAGCCAGGCCGCCAATCTCACCGCGCACGTGCGCACGCACTCGGGCGAGAAGCCGTTCCGCTGCCCCATCTGCGACCGGCGCTTCTCGCAGTCCTCGTCCGTCACCACGCACATGCGCACGCACTCCGGGGAGCGACCGTACCGCTGCCGCCTGTGCAAGAAGGCCTTCTCCGACTCGTCCACGCTCACCAAGCACCTGCGCATCCACTCGGGCGAAAAGCCCTACCAGTGCAAACTGTGCCTGCTGCGCTTCTCGCAGTCGGGCAACCTCAACCGCCACATGCGCGTGCACGGGGCGAGCGGCGGCGCGGGGGGCGCGAGCGCTCTGGGCGGATCGACGGGCGCGGGCGCGGGCGTGGGCATGGGCACGAGCACAGGGGCAGGCGCGGGCGCGGGCGGCGGAGGGCTCGGGCCTGCCTGACAGTGCTCGCGCCAGTGGCAGCTGCTGTGCCACGGCGTCGCGCCCTGCTGGTGACCCCCCTCCCGCCCCGCCCCCGCAGACGAAAAGGCGCTCCGCGAGCGCCCCGGTCGCCCTGCTTCCTGAGCGGTGGAGCTCCGCCCAGGCGACGCACTCGGTAGCCCTGGCGCGACTCTCTCTCGCTGACTTCAGGTTTCTCAAACCAGAATGGATATTTGAAACGTTTCACTATGAGTTCTGCTTCACAGCTCCCCGGGAATTTTCAAAAATTTTTCGATGTCTGCAATTTTTGGCATGTTTGTCGCCTATTAAAATTCAAACGTTATTCAATAAATTCTCGTAAACATTTTCAAAATGCGTATTTTTATTTATTATAATTTATTAACTTAGTTCTAATCACATTTGTGTTTTTTACATACAGTTAACTCGAGTTCAAGTATTCTGTTAATTAACTCCCACTTCGACAATTTCTTCGAGTGAGCGTTAAATTCAGCATGCATTTACCGAACAGTAATAAATAAAATTTTCATTATTACGTCAGATTAATTTTCTTCAGAATACTATTGGTTGCTGAGCCATTCGCGCCAACTAGTTATTCAACCCAGTTCTAAACCCACAAACCCAACCCAACTGTGGGTAGCGTGTCATAATCAAATTGGTAGGCAGGAAATTGCAGTGCAGAAGGGCGATATTGCTGTACGCCACGCTGTGCTTAAACGCAAACAGAACGTTATTCTTTCAACATAAGAGAATTGTCTTGGCAGCCGGATTGATGCAATATTTTCACAAACAAACATTGAAAATTAAATTATAAAGTGGTCACACAAGGGGAAATCATTTTCAAAAAAATGAATGATCTAATTGACTTTTGGTTACACACCTTCCATGGTATTGTAAATATTTTCTTTTGCGATGGATCATTAATTAATATCCAAACAAGATTAAAACAAACGCAATTTTTAAATTGGTGAATCACAAGGAAATAGTAACATTTTCTTTGGATAAATCATGTTTACCATCGAGGTGAAAGAAAATACTTAAAATGCCCTGAATCTTATAAGGTATGTCCTTGTCAAGGAACCTGCATACTCGATTTTTTCATAAATTGACAAAAGTGAATGAGATTAAACCAAAGACATACAAAATTAAATAATAAAGGTTCTGAAAGTGCAAACATGCCAAATAGATGCAGCCTAGCGAAACAGTAACCGATTACTTGATCTCCTCATCCCCTGCCCCGCCGCTCATTCAACCGAACAACGAAGCAAACAACTCTCATCGAATGAACCAAAGGACAAACGAATAAGCGCACGAGACAAGCCGCCGTTGTTTTTTGCTTGGACGAGTGACTTCCGCGCGCTATCACGAGTACATTCCAATGTTGACAGTTGAATCCTCAGGACACTAACGGTTTGTGGCTGCAGCGGAGGGAAACAACTCGACTGTCATTTCGACGATGTAGTGTGTGGTTTAATTGTTACATTATGGCAAAGAGTTTATGTGTACAGTGTTAATATTTAAACAGTGTGAAGAATGTATTCTTAATTCCAGATGTAATGGAATGACACGATACAAAAAGATATAAAAAGCCCGAATTCGAAAAAATAATATTCTTAATGTAGCGTGCATCTAGAGTTTCTTTGTAGACAATGTTGATGCACATGCCAGCTTCATAATTTGAAGTAGACCCCACCAACAAAATAAAACATTATTGGAATAATTGATTTCACTATTTATGTTCTATGATTTCAAGTGTATAGAGAATACCAAAGAGTTTAATCAATAAGTGAAACTGAATGTATCAAAATCGATTACTAAGCACACACAATTTATAAGTTATTAATGATAAAGCACTTCTTTCTTGCATTACAAGTATATGTACTTTTTTTCGTGGAACGGAGTTCCCTGCACAATATTAATGCTCTTGTACCCACGAATCATCAGGCATGTGTCTTCACAATTCATATCCGAATTCTCACTGTTGGCGTTTGTTTTTTCCTTTCCTTCAGCGGTTTTGCTGATTCCAGAAAATGTTCACTCAATAATCAATGAATTGTACCAATTTTTACGTATGACGATTGAGAGTCACGTGATGTTGCGGCCAATGCTATCGTAGCGACGAGTAATGGCAACAACGTCTCTGGTGACGTAATCCACATTCTCGCTGCCACAGTGTCGAAGTGAACAAATAAAGGGAATAGTCTGAAGTTGTAGTTGTTCTTGATCGCGGTGGACCTTATCATTGATGGTTAAGTCCTTTGGAGTGATTTGCAATGATCCTAGGGCTTGTAAGGGCTTGTAAGGGGATGTAAGGGCTTGATTATAGGCGGACCGCGACGGAACGGATTCCGGTACCTGAGGGGGGGGGGAAGAGAACATTTGATTTTTTGTTGGACCAACTTTCGTCAACTCAAAATTAAATAATTTTCCATTAGTTCTACGAATGTAATAAGAATTTAATATAAACAATAAAATATCATAAAATCCATTTTTTATTTCCTATTATTATCATTACATTTTGATAGAGACAGTGCTACTACCGTTAATAACAGTTATTAAGTATGATTTATTAAATTATATATATATATATAAATCAAGCCCTGCTTGTAAGGATCTGCTTTTCTTCAAATTGCATTTAACGAGCAGCTGGATTTGCTTTGCTACGAAGATGACCGCACATACTATGGGCCGTATACGGGCGGTAACGCGGAAAACATTTACCTCTCCCGCGCCAGCTTTCCTAAGCGGCGGATTTACCATCTTCGAGGCATTTCCGAGGCAAAGTTAAAGTATTTTTGAGGCCCCTTTTTTTACTGTCATCAATAATAATTTTTGAGATAAGAGATTTTAACCATTTTACTGTACTTACTAGTTAAACAATTAAAACCTGCCTTTAAAAATAATTTTATTAATTTATAAATCTAAAAATTCAAAACAATTGTCTATAATATAATAATATCTGTGTGCCACACTAGCTGCAATATAATTCAACACTGTAATAATCATTAATAAAAACTAACTAAAAATTCCGTTTATGCGATTTTTGCCAGATGTAGATATTATCATTTTCACTTAATATTGTTAGTGAACTGAGTTTGCCTTGTGCAATTGTAACTCGATTCTAGTTTTCAACACTTTTAAGTTTACTAAATGATATTTTACCAATACAGTTTGTAATCACTAAAGTTTTCAAAAATCAAAAGGCAACAGCAACGTGTCACTCAAACCTCAATATTTGCTCTCCAATACGCCTCACGTCAGTATATGAAAAGAGAACTTTTGAAGATTTTGAGACACATTTTGTCATGCAGTCAACAAGTCCAAATGTAATATTCGAGAATGAAAATGCCGCTCTTAGAGTGTATCTGTTTTAAACTCCAATAGCATATTTATCGAATTTATTTAATTTTTATTTCTTTACGGGAACTAATTAAATTTGTATAAGTTCATCTCGTTATAACATTTAGAAATTTGCAATTTTGTTTAATAATTTTTATACCTCTTGAACTCTGAGGCCCCAATCTGTAACTTATTTAACTTAACGGTAAATGCGTCACTGGCTTTCATTCACAAAAACTTTTGGAATACAAAATGCAAAATCCACAGACAAGCTAGAGAAATTCTCACACATTTTTACACAGCCACACTTTTACGTTGCTCCTGTTTCAGAATGTTGATTTAATTGCCCCTGGATTTCTTTCCTCTCAGCATAATTTACTCACGGCGGCCAAAGTGATATTTTTGGCAACTTCTTTTCTCCCTAAACGAATTTTCACTTAACTTTTTTATTATAGTAAAGATACAATGCAGATGTTTTGATATATTGCTTGTCTATCTTCAATATATTGCTCTATATTGCTCTATCTTCAATAACGTGTAAAATAATCATCGGGCAGATTAGTGGACAAAAGCGTACTATAGGGAGAATGGGTTTCTATTCGACTTATGAAAAGGCGAAGACAAGTGAAAATGTCAAAAGGCATTGAGCTAATCGCATGCAAAGTGCTTCGAAATATTTAATAGAAGAAATTTAAACTATGTCATTATCTTTGGTCGGTATCTACAACAATATAAAATGTTTTAATTAATTCGTGATGTGTATAAATGAAGTGCAAATAGAATACCTCCTCAAATAACAACTCTGTACAATTTATCAATAAAAGTATTAAAATAAGATCGTATTTTAATAACGTTTAATAAATTTAAAAATTTACAACTTCAAGTACTGTGTAACTGCATATCATGATTTAAAATAAAAACGTAGTTGAATGAATAGGAGCTTAAAACCACGTTTGAGGTCTCATTGTGATTTAAGATTAGGACAGATAATTTCAACAAAGCTTGTTTTAATGCATAATTCCGCTTAAAAGGACAGAGATAAGTATTATTATATTGATCGCTTCTTAAGAATTTCCATGCTTTGGTAGTATTTGCATTCTCACGTTACTTATTCCACCTGTTTTATATTATTTGAACAATAGCGCAACAAATGTATTATCCTGTATCTCTCGATTATTCAGTATTTGAAAAGAACGATGTCGCAAAGTTTAAACACACACTAGAAAATTATTTGCTTATACGCAATCATTAAAAATTATGCCGTAACTGAACAATATGGTATATTTTGGAAAGTTCAAGATTTTAAGATCTCTTGAAACTTTGAAACACTTTTTTTTCCTCAAAAGAAAACTTTTTTCATCGAGAGACAAAAAGATACAATAATCAAGAAAGTAAATAGGTTTCGATTTTCAGAAAATGTAATATTCTTAACGTGTCTCATTACATCAGATTTGTGTCTCAAGTGCCGAACATCGGCAACTCTTTCAGAAAATATTTTTCTTTTACTTTCTCGCCATACTCCGTACCTACGAAGAAATGAAAAGGTGCAACAAAGCTGCAACAAAAATACTGCGTTTTCTCGTCAGAAAATCTGGTGCTGCCGGGCCCTGGTATTGAAAAAGTGGATAAATTTTGTTCTTATATACAGTAAATTGCTTCCCCTA